CTCGGCTTGAGTTCTGACATCCACTGAGCTCTGAACGCGTTGAGCTGCACCTGCAAATCAATTCAACTGTTAATAAAAAAAAGACGGGTAAAAAAAGAACTACTCCTGACTAAAGGGCAGGATTAGTATTACCCAGGGACATCTGGTAATTTGGGAATTTTTTTTACTGACATTTCTGTTTGAAAACACGGAGGCACTGCAGGATAACTATCTTGTCTCTGGGGGCAGTTTCACATTTCACAGCGTACGGCTGCCTGATATTCATAATTATAATAATAATAATAACTTTATTTGTAGAGCATGTTACGCCCCACCACAAGTCGGCTCTATCGGGCTTACAACAAACTCACAAACTGACGCAATAAAACTGTACCAAAGTCTAAACAAAGAGATTTATCATCAACAGACAAACTGAATGATTAAACAAAGATCAACTCAAAAAGTAGTTCCACAAGAAAACACCCAATCACCGACTGAGAGGCGGAGGCGAACTCCAGAAGCCTCTCAGTGAAAACAAATGTTTACAAAGTGCTGCAGAAGCAAACATAACAGCGACCAGGTCAAGGTCCCGAACAACAACAAATAAATATGATCAGATGTGCAGCCAACAACAACAAAACCCCAACACTGGAAGAACCCACACTAGCCTGGATAAAACAAACAAGTTCAAAGTAAAAAAATAAAACTGAAAATCATATCAAAGCAGTTTGTTCTGCACCATAAAAGGTTTAATTTGCATTGTGCCTTTTACAATCAACAATTCAGAAATCAGGATAGAAATGTTAATATACACACGACTGCTCACCTGAAGGTTTGGGTCGTCTGAACCTTCATCATCATCCTCAATCTCAATCGTACCTGTGATTTCTGCAGGTTCTTCAGCCTGCACAAAGAGAAAAAAAAAGATGCATCAGAGGAAATGTTTGCCCACTAAACCGTGTTTCAACTGCTGCTTTGAAATGTGCTCGATTTTTTGGCGATTGAACATTTGAGACTCGAGATGCAAAGATTCAGAAATTCAGGGCCGATGTCGATACCGATGTTTGAAATGAAAACTTAGCCGATTGACGATTCTGATGTTTGTTTCATGACTTCTTTTTTTGGTGCAAGACTTCCACAACGCCGACATTTTCATTCACGTTTGACGATTAAAAAAACATCAGATTTTGTTCCACATGTTGAATTTATCTGCCCATTAAAAAAGCCTCTTCTCTGATTCAGTGGTTAGGTGGACTAGATGCCAGCACTAAAATGGGTAGCAGTCACTGGATATGCTAATATCGGACGATATTATCGGTTGGGCTGTAGCACAAACATTTAATTTTGACAATAAACCAAGCATCATCCAAAACAAACTATTTTATATTTCAAACTTAGTCAAACAAAAGAAAACAAACACATCATTTGTGCAAAGTTGATAAGCGTGTTGTTCCTCTGTTTATTCAACGGTAAATAAATCATTAATTTAAAACACCTATCATTAGTTACGCCCCGAGAAAACCTCTTTTTGTGTTGCACTTTGATTCCCTCAATCATTGGGCACCACAAATCTCCAGCCTGGTGTTTCAACCTCAGAGGTCAGTTAACAACAAAACAGGTTGGTCTGAAATTTCAGAAAATGACAGGGGAGGCAGTGAAGCAGCCTGAAGCTAAAACATCAGAGAAGAATTGTTGATATTTTGACATTTTTTTAACGCCACCCTGCAGCAGACATGTTTGTCAGCAGACTGTAATAAAAACAAATGAAAGCTGAGGGAAAATGCAACAACTAGAAAATAAAAGATTCATTCATTTGTTGCTCTACCTGGAAGCCAAAGTTAAAAACAAAACCGGTCTGATCCCACCACCAGCTCATTTCATGTTTATTTTTAACCCTCCTCTTGCACATTGTGTAACACCTTTAAAGTCAACAGAGTCACATTCACGCTTTCAGCCTTTTGCAGTTTTGTGAGTCTCATATCCTCCTGTTTTTACTGCCACACCTACAGAGCCCCTCAAGTCCCAAAAAGTGCACACAAGTTAGATGAAAACTTTGGGACACAAAGTAATTATCTTGCACATGCAAACTTGTATTTGAAGGATGTTAGATAAATAAAAAAATATCTTGCATGCACATATATTGTGACAAAAGTTAAAATCTTCTAACGTGTGCACACTTTATTATTATTATTATTACTTTTGGGACTCCAGGAAGGTCCACTCCTTACATATCTGTAATTTGCATATTGAAAATAACACTGAATGGATGTGTGTTGTGACTAAAGTGATCAGATACAAACACATGTGGCTTTAGCAACTGGCTTTGGTTCTTAGTTTGCAACAAGATTGTGCTATTTTTATACAGACAACCTTAATCTTCCTGAGCAATGCACGTTTTGTTACACAACTAGTTTCCTCTTGCAGAGCTACAGGTAAAAAGAAAAAAAGACAGGTGGAGCTTTCCACGTAAGCTAACAAGCTAGGCAGTGTTGCTTGCTGTTGTTTTTCTGAGTATTTCAGCACAAACAAGGTGACTCACCATGACAGCTGGGCAGGTGGCTCTCTGGGGTTTTTTTTAATCCTCACGCTCGCAAAGCACTACTAGAGTTTACAGTTCGCGGTCGGAGAAGCGGACAACACAACGAACATATTTGCGAGCTCTCAGGAATGCAGCCATTTCGCTGAGCAGCCTGCGGCCTCGGCGACACAAGAAGTCCGGAAGTGTGGCGAAGTTGGAAAGAGACGGTGCGTTCAAGTGCGATTGGAAAAGGCGGACAGATTGGATTCGAATTAGGGAAGTATGAGTGCTTCAAGTCAAAACAACACGGGGGGGGGGGGTGGATACCTCACCTAATATCAGTCTATTTTGTATTTTGTAGTTCGGTCAATCAGCCTTCTCCATCAAAAGGTTGTAAACTCTGAAATAAAATTATCTCGGACTTAAAATATTTTACAAAAGATAATAAAGATAAGATCAGATATACTTTATTCATCCCAGCAGGGAACTGTAGATGTTCCAGCAGCCAGCATGCATACAAACACACAAAACAACACATATATACATACAATCCCACCCATACAAAAAAACATGAGCCCACATAGCCAGGATAAAAACAGTGGTATGGATGGTCCATGTGCATAAGTAGCTGTTACTCATAGATAACAGTACAAAATAGTAGCTCTGCCAGTGCATAGTATGATAGATAAATAAAGAATTATTATAAAAAAGCAGTCAAGTGTGCAAATATACAGTTTGATATATGCAGCTCATGCTAAAGTTTAAAAGTTTAAATGTCTTCTGTCCTTACGTAAAGGGGAGTCGTTATAAAGTGCAATTGCAGTAGGTAAAAAAAGTATTTTTAAATCTGTCCTTTTTGCAGCTTAGCTGCCGTAGCCTCCCGCTAAAAACACTCTTTTGTTCACACACGAGATCGTGTAAGGGATGCATGTTATTGTCCACAATGTTCAACAGTTTCTGTATCATCCTTCTCCCCATCACCACCTCCAGGGGAAGGTGATGATGAAGGTGAAATGCTGACTCAAAGCAAGCCAGAGCTGTACCCACTGTTAAATAGTATCGTCAAACTTTATTTTAAACTGGTTTATAGCATTTGTATTTTAATGTATCCTCATATCGTGTTTTGGGGTTTTATGTAACTGAATGTTGTACATTTTAATCTGTTTGTTTACACAAAGGCTCAACTGGGGACACGAGTTGGAAATTAGCAACAGCTATAAACTCTTTATGCAGCACATCAGTTTCATGCTTTGTATTGAGATTATGTTAAATTGCATTGTCCCTATTAAGTAAATATATTCAAATATTCAAAAAATAAATTCAAATATTCAGTGGTGATTCTAGAGTCTCTTGGGGCCCTAAGCAAGAATCAGAAGGAGGGCCCTCTAACCAGCGTTCATCAACATCATGTCTGCCATCGTCCCTACGCTTACTCCTCTTCCTCTTTAAGACGGATAACTCCTCTTCATTTTTAATTTGTCGACTTTCATTAATCGACTTTGGTTTTCCCAGAATTAATGCATGCAACGCTCAGCAGGGCAACAAGAATGAGTGCTGTCAGACGGGGGCCCAATAAGGGAGGTTTCCTACTGTCGGTGCAAAATTTGCACGTTTGGTCCGCTGCTTTGGTTTAAGGTTGTGAGCCCTCACAGGCCCCCCCTGCTGGTCTGGGGCCCCAAGCAGTTACCTGATGACAAGCAGCGCCTCTGAGTCTACCTCGCTGATTGAATTGACACACCAAGGTGAACGTCATGGTCAAAATCTATTTATCAATGCACGTATTGAAAATAAACATATATGTTCATCTGCCAATTGCAACATAATATATTTATATATGTTGTTTTACACTAAGAGTAACCTACTTCAGGGGTTCCCCAAAATAAGGATGCCCCAGACTGGGGACCGCTTGTGTCCCTGGAGGTGATTAATATAAGGTATTCACATGAAGCATATAGAGATTAAATATAATAATAAAATAAATAAAGCTCAAAAAACCTCATTTGAATTGAATTGGATTGATTAATTTAAGAAGTTTGATTTAAGAGTGATTCGTTTTGTATAAAATCCCCACCTACAATCCCCAACGAAGGAGCCTTGATCATAATTGCTTTTACTTTAAATACCTCTAACCCTTTTGAACCTTCTGCCACGCCGTAGATTTCACGTTTAACCAAAGATGAAAAGTGCGAAACAAGAGCATTAATGCTCGTTCTCCTTCGACATCGCTTTGCACGCTTAAATAATCGTCATTTTTTATTTTTGTAATTTTGGTAAATCGTTGTTTTTCATTTTTTATAAAGATGTTTTCCATCTTTCAGGGTCCACTGTATATATTTCACCTGCTTATATGTGTGGAAAGCAAATGTGTCATACTGTTTACCAAAAACAGTCTATAGTTGGATATATTTAAACATGCAGAGCTTCGCGATTTAAGTTGCAGGGAAGCCTCTCGCTTCGGGTTGTAATCTTTGTTTTACGGAGGAGAGCTGTGATTTGTTTTTACAACAACGCGAGATTATGATGAGCTCTGCTGGAGGAAAGAAAAAAAACGGGGCCTGGATAACATTATATTTATGAAGTCGGTTTGACAAGAGTGGATCTTCTAACGCTGATTATTATTCATTTGAGCATTTTGTCACACACGTCGACCCCCGGATGCTCGGCCATGTGTTGTTGTCTATTTGACGTGAGGAGGGTGAGTGTTGTCTGATGCTTTTTCGTATTAATTTAAGTTTCACATTCAGTCACTGAGGCCCTTTTTTTTTTTTAACTCAATGTAAAGGATGTTATGTTGTTTTCAGCAGCTGGGCCGAACCCACCAGCCTCATTAACACAACGTTAATTGTATCAATTTGCAACAATTTCCTGCACGACACTCCGGTTAACAATTAACCCCAAACACACTCTCCCATCTGATGTGATGACCTGCAGGGTGAACTATATCCCGTTTCCAATATCCTATGTGATGTTTGGTGGTAGCTCTAATTCTGAGCAATTCATGCAAACTAGTTAAAATATGAAAAACAATGAATGTCAGCTTCGTCAAGGATGAAACATGAGGGAAACAACAACAACAACAACAACAACAACAACATAGGTGTAATGGCATTAAAATACAGATGAAGGAAAGAGCTGTATTCTATGACTGAGGACTTTAGATAAAAAAAAGATTGAAGACAGATGTACTGCAGGTGTAAATCGTAGTTTTTGAAACTGCATTTATTTAGTTGTAGTCCAATCTGGAGGGAACATTGTGTGATATCATTCATGTTGAAATTGATAAACATTTAGTTTTATTTTGGACTCCTGTATTGTTTGGTGTCTTGGAAAATAGTGAACAGGAACACACTTTTTAGATTATAATGATTCAATTTCACCTCCTTCCACACGTTAACACATCCATAAATATGAACTCACAGGTTTAAAAAAAAAAGAAATGGCTTTTTGTAAATGATTTCTGTTATTGTGAGTAAAGAGCTGGATTCTCCTTTTTTTTTATAGCTGAGCTGAGTTCAGGGTGTGAGCGCTCAGAGGACTACTTTCATCCCTTTCTCTCTACAATGATTTCATACACATGTGATTTATTACGGTATATTCTTTCCACCAAAGGTTTAATTGCATAAGAAATAAGATGTGACTGTGGCCCTGCAGGTCAGATACACAAATACTTCATGATTGCAAAAAAAAAAATCATATCACCAGACGGCAAAAACATTTCACTTAATGCAAAGATATTTAACAAAACATCAAATCCATTTTGCTTTCTGCAAAAACACAGTCCATGTAAGACTCCGTTTGAGTTCATTTAGGAGTAATTAATATTATTTCTCCTCAGTACTGACAAGGTGTTTGACTCTTAAGTGTTTAGTGTGAGGTTAAATGGTCGATTCATCTCATGCTAGTTTTGTTAAAGATTATGTTTATTGTATGTTGCCTCAGACAAACTTCATCTCTTTTCAATTCCTCACCTTTTCAGCTAGAGGGAGGCAAGTCCATGACACCATGAGTCCTCCAGCTCTGCCCGTAGTCTTCTGCTGTTGTCACAGGAAAATCTGGCTGCATTCACCAGCAGGAGGCGAACACATCTCTATTTCCTCCCAATAATTTACCCGCCTGACTCTATGGAACGACAAGCATAATGAATAGATACACCAACATCAGACAGCTCGGGGATGGCACCTACGGCTCCGTCATCCTCGGCCGCAGTCTGGAGTCGGGGGAGCTGGTCGCGATAAAGAAGTGAGCAGCAGAATAGTAAACGTGTGATTGTCCAGGCGTGCATGCATGCAAAGACTTTTTCTGCATGTTCTGCACATTACTGTTCTCTTACTGTTAGACTCAACTTGAACTTGAAAAGAGACTGCTGCTCTGCATTGTGACGTCACTGCAAACAAATCACTAATACTTTTTTCTTTTTTTTTTCTTCCCAGAATGAAAAGAAAATTCTACTCCTGGGAAGAATGCATGAACCTCCGTGAAGTCAAGGTGAGTGATGGTTTTTCATTTGAACACGGTTTCAGAATTAGATTTTGGGAAGAATGAGCGTGGATTAATCTTAAAGCAAAGTCCCTCCTCTACGGTGGCTGGGAAGTGCAAAACTTACAAAGTGAAACACTTTCACAAAGCTTGAGACAAATTACATTTTGAAAAACGTTTTCTTAAACAAAATTAACCAAAGCAACAAACATTTACCGAAGACAAAACTAATGTAGCTAATGTCTACATTTACAAAACACATTACTAGATTTAAAACTCTTTAAGGAGCACTGAGACACATTTACAATCGGCAGAACACTTTTACCAGTCCCCAAACAAAGCAAACTACTGAAGCTAAACACTTCAAACAAAACAAATGTACATTTTAGATAAAAATGTACAAGATGTGAAACACTTGCACAAGCATCTTGTACATTTCTCATCTAAAATGTAAATTTGTTTAAATGTGCTTTGCTTCAGGAATCTTGTTTTAAATGTGAAAATGTTTTCCACAGTGTAACTTTGTCTCAAGCTTTGTCAAAAGTGTTTCGCACTTTGTAATTTTGATTTGCCCTTTCCGGCCACCGTACTCCTCTGAGCGTTCTGTAGTGTAAAATGTAAATGTTCTAAAGTCGTTGTTGAAGCTTTGAATAAAGATCCACGTTGTCTGATCTTACTGCAGCGCTGGACGAGGAAGACAATTTGGCTCTAGGATTATTTGTCTCAAACCGGTCCGAACACGACGTAACTGAACACCGACCAAGTGTTCCCTTTAAAAAGCTCTACCACCTCATAATCAACACAAAGCTGTAGGGACTGTTTTCTCTGTATCACCAGGTCACTGACAGCTGTAACAACACTATTGGCACATCTGCTAGTTTATCTATTTCTGGTTTTTCATTTGACCTCGTCATGTTTGGCCTAATGCTCCACCTACTCACCTGTTTAAATCCAGAGTTACATGAAGGTTTATTTCATTCTTAGAATACACTAAGCTGTTATTTGCAGATTCTACCTTTAAAAAAAGTTAAATCATCTTAAGTGAAGGGTAATCACTGAAAGAGCTTAACGTCTAGTAAGGTTATAGCGCTCGCACAGAGACTTGACTATTGCAGCGCAGTTTGATCTCAGATTCAAATATCACATGCAGTGTAACATGTTAAGCATGCTGTTGATTGTTTTGATGCAGTGACCAGTGAAACAGTTTTAGTTTTTCATCCTGTGATTATTTTTGGTTGATTTTTTTTTTTTCTTGGATCATTAAAGAAACATTCCCTTCATTAACACAACGTAAACCTTCTGTCTCACAGCTCGAAGTTCACAGCTCGAAGTCAACACGGCTCTAAGAGCAGAAGGTGATTCTTGTGTGCGTTGGTTTTTAGCTCTGGTTTATTCTTAACCTACATCCTCCTCCCTCCCCCTCCCAACCCTCTCCTGGCTTTAACTTAACGCTGCAAAAAAAAAAACGGAGCCTATGCTGGTCTTTAAATC